AAAAAAATGAACCAAGCCTTTTTAGGATGGCCACTCTTATGAACAATAACTTGAAGTCTATTTTGCTCAAGTCGCTTTGAAATAAATATTAGGAAGCGCTCTAACATTTTAATATTTAACAAATGTTAGATGTTATGCTCTTGAGAAACATAGATGTATCTTGTAAAGATGAAATAACACAAAAACCGTGCTTAAGATCTATAGAAAACAAAACTTGCTATGCACCTTCTTTCAACTTATCAAGGAAATAAAAAGGGTGTATCCTTCCATGAAAAAAAATAATAATAATAACTTTTTTTTAAAGCTTTTAAGAGGTGGTCCAAGGTTAATCTTACAAGTCTACTAACTTCACCAACTTCTATCAAATTCTACTAAAAATCTCGATTTTATCCAAACCGAACAGGTCTTAACTACATCCTCACATTTCAAGCAGGGTTATGGTATATTGTGTGCAATTAAAATGGAACATAAATGACTACATACTATAATGCTCCAATTAAAATCTGGTTGTAATGTTTAGCTACCGATGGATCGAACAGTCAACTGCGGTATGTATGAGCCAAGATTTTTCACAGTGAACCAAATCAAATTACTCATATTGAGTTCCTCCCATATCTTCCATGGTGTCGAAAATGTATGTCTAATCGACATTAAGTTTATTGTGAACCACGATTAATTTGGTAACATGGTTGTTGCAAGTACTCATGCATACATATATATTGTGTAAAAATAGGAAGATGCATCAGATTTCAAATGTATATGTTACTTTTATCCAAAATATATTCTTCAAAATTAAAGTAGGGTTAGAGTAATAGAGCAAGCATTAAAGCAAAAGCAAAAACTGGATAAGAGACAATATACCGGAAGTATACATATACGTATTCCCATATATATGGAAAAGATAACGAGCATTTCCATCCAGACATCTGAGAAGTAAATAATGAAGAACCTTGCGAGTATTGGGAGAAGTCGAAGATAATCCACGGATGACAAATATTAACTATGATCATGATGAGGTCTCCAAGTTGGCCATAGCATCGTTCCAGGCTCGAAAAGAAGAGATTGAGAGAGAGAAAATGGAGATGAGAATGGTCCGAGTCTCAATTCACTCATGCTGAAGAAGAAACCAAGCGTTTTGTCACAAATTTGGGAAGCAAGTCCAACGAATTGTTTTCCACGTGCAAATTTTAATTGTTTGTCTTGTAAAATATACTACGATGCAGGAAGTTGAAATGTTAACACAGATCCCATGAGAAAGGAAGTTGGCAGTGTACGTAAAAGGATAGAGGCCTGCCAAAAGATGGAAAGACTTCTTTTTTCCTAAACCCCCTTGTGAATATTTGGGGATATGAGAAATTTTATCGGCACTGATCTATGATAAAAAAAAATAAATAAATGAATTTCTTTAAAACTCAATGCCACTTATACTTGAAAATTACACGAGTGAAATCTAGACAGGAGAAAGAATATAAAGCTTTCCAATAAAAGAACAACGAAAAAGCTCAGTTGACCACAACCCTATGGAGGCAAAATTAACCCCATTTCTTGAATTTAAATTTCTACCCACACCCGTTTGACACCACTTTTGTTTTTGCTTCTACTTACAAAAAAGCTTCCTTGAGCCAATTTTTTCTAAAAACTCTTCTAACCAAACAAAACATTTCCATAAAATTATTCACATTCAAATATGTTCAAAAAGTCGCTTCTTCCCCTCAAATGCAGCTTTTTGACTTTTCAAAAGTCATGTCAAACAGACCCTTACTATTATTTTCTAATTAAATATAAATTTTCAAGTTGGTAAATGAAAGTGAGAAATTCAGAACGATGAAACCTGAACAATTCGGCAAGATTATATATCCAAACACCTAATATGCACTCAATTATTGGGTTCTTATCAATGTAAAATTGTGTCAATTTTCTATCTTGTATCTTTCAATCTTTCCATATATGAGGAATGCAGTATACTATTTTCATTTTTCCATAAAGTCTCGGTTTATTTATTTTTGCATTGGATTACATGACTTGCACAATACAATATAATACAATAGCTTTTAACTTGACTTGCTATAATTATTTAATCACGTCTAATGCAATCTAGTCCAGCGTAACAAACATATAAAACAAAACCTTCAAACACGACTTTTACAAGTACAATTTTTTTTTTCAAGATTTCCACGCAAATTGCAAAAACAATTTATCTATGAACTGGATAGAATCAAACATTATGTCCAGGACTAATGGGGAAAGAGAAGTCCATATAATTGATTTACAAGAGAACGTATTCTGTAGTGAATAATGCTTGTAAAACTTACAAAAAAGTTACATGACATTCAGTTCGTTCTTACAGATGATAGAAGCACTTTGTATTCCTCCAATAGATTTGGGATATCATCCATACGCAACTAGGAAAAAAAATAAACTGCATTAGAATGGGATAAACATGGAGTCCTAACACAGTATAATCAA